CCTGGGGCAGGTGGCCCCCCCTGCGGCCCAGCTCCCAGGTCTCTTCGAACTGCTGCTTCCAGTTGGGCTGCTGCACCTCAGGGGAGCGAGGCACGGCCTGGGCCCGCAGCTGCTGGGACGCCATGGTGCAGGTGTGCAGGGCTGGCAGGGGAGCTGGGATTCCTGCCTGGGCTGCCCCACCCTGCCCAGGGGAGGAGGAACAGGAAGGGTTGTGGGGGAAGCCCCAGGGTGGGGGATCCAACCGTGCGAGGGGGCGGTGATGACACGGGCTGTGGGCAGGCCTAGCACGTACACAGGTTGTGCAAGACACCAAGACATGGCTCCCAGGAGAGCCCTCGGCTCTGTGGGGCCAGCTGCTGCCAGTCCCTCCCCCCTGCCTGCAGCCCCAGGCACCCCCCAGCCCTGCTGGCGCTCCACACTCCCACCCTGCAGCCCCCGCCAGCCCAGCCCTGGGCTCCCCCACCACAAATCTCCTCCCAGAGCTGGGAAAGGAACCCAGGAGTCCGGCCGCTGCCACCCCCATTTGCATTCCAGGAAGAGGAAGGGCCTGGTGTGCTACTGGGACCTGTCCCAGCGCCCGTCAGGCAGGGGCTGAAACTACCCAGCTCAGGGACCAGACCCAGCCCATCAGAACAAAGGGAGCCAGGCACCCGGACAGGCCGGGCCGGTGCCTCCTACCATCTCTCCCTTGGCGAGGAAGGTTCCTGCGGGCGCAGGGCCCTTGGGGCGGCTCCCTCCCGCTCAAACCAAGGGGCAGCCATAGACAGCGGCATCCATGTTCCTAGTGGCTTTCAGCCCCCTTGCCAAGTGCTCCATGCCAAGATGCGGCCAGGGCGGGGGCAGAGTAACATGGCTCATCCAGCAATCCCTGGGGGGCCAGCAGCACCAGCGGGGGGCCCCGAGCTGAACCCCACTGGCAGCCACTGGTCCTGGGCCACACACGGGGCAAAGCGGGGGCCAGGCCCTGTCTGACAAAGCCCCAGGATCAGTGTAACCCTCCTCTCCCCAAGGCCAGAGGACAGCTGGCTACATGCAAGGGAGCAGCTGGGATACAATCAACGGGCTAAGGGAGGGGACAGTGAATGCAGCGGAGTGGGGGGAGGCAGAGTCTGGGAGCCCTGTTCCTCCACAAAGGGGGAGACGGGGCTGGGCGATCAAGCTGGAAGCCCCCTTGCCCTCCAGCAGGGGAGCAGGAGTTGGTGAGGACGTGGCCCGTAGGGCAGGGTGACAGTCCTAGCCCAGGCCTACAGCCGGCTCAGCATTAAGGGGGGCAGCCCTCACAGGCAGCAGCTGGAGCTGGACATGGGGAGAGGGGACCCTCTGCCTTTCTGAGCCTCCGGTGCCTGCAGCCAGGCAGGAGGCCAATTCCCTTCCCCACTTCCCCCAAATTTCAAGCAGCTGCCTCCCCAACCCAGGCCAGCAAGGGGCAGCAATTGGCTCTCGACAGTCTTTGGGTGGAGTGTTGGGGCACAGGAGTGGCGGAGGGGTGGAGCAGGGCGTGTTAAGCAAGGACAAGTGGGGGTGTAACCCCACCCCCACTCAGCTCCTCCCCTGCACAAAGCCAGGCATAGGAGAAGAGGGGTAGGCAGCTTGAGTGTTTTAATTAACAGCTTGGCTCATGCAGAGCCCCCCAGGACCCACTGCACCCTCCTAGCACACAACCCCAGCCCTGCAGCATCGGGGGAGGCATCCCCCCCCCTTATAAATACATCAAAGCAAAGAAAAACAAACCCAGTCAATAAATACAAACCTAAAACAATCAACCTTGTGCAAAACCCACAGCAGGGCAGCGTGTGTGTGTGTGTGAGTGTGTGTGTGTGTGAGCGCGCCTGTACACACGCCAGCCAAGGTGCCTGAACCGGCTTCAACAAGAGCTTTGTCCAGCTGCCTGGCCCTAGTGCCCCCTGGCCCAACCGGGCATCTCAGCTGGTGCTCCCTTGTCAAGCCTGCACAGGGAGCCAGGAGAGCTCGGGGCGGCAGGGAGCCAGGCCAAGATCTGTCCCCAGCCAGCACCCACTCGCAAGCCCTGACTTTGCTGTGCAGTTTGGGCCCGGGTCAGGCGGGACTCAAACCTGCAGCCGCTTCCCCTGCACCTGCTCTGGGGCACCGGCTCTCCCGGCCCCAGCTAAGCTGCAGAGGGTGGGGGAGGGAAACAGACAAGAGCCAGGCAGGGAAAGCTCTTTAAACCAGACCCACAGTGCTCCCTGCTGGAAGGTGGATGCAACTGCCCCAGCCAGCCCACCCCAGCTGCATGCAGCAGTGCGCCTGGCCTGGAGCCAGCCTGGGGGGGACACGATGGGAACGGACACAGATATGCACTCCCCACAGGGGACAGCAAGGACCCACAGATGGGGGTGGGGGGAGGGTAGAGCACAGGAAAGCTGGAGAGCGGGGGGAGAATGTCTGACCACAGCAGCCCCCAGGCCCAGGCGCGAAAGAAGCCCACAGGATGTTGCCAAAGAGCAAGGATCTGCCTCCCCCCGCCACTGAGCCCTAAAGGGCCCTCTCCCCCATTGCGAGGGGTGTCAGGGTGGGGCAGGGAAAAGGGGGCAAAGATCAGTCGCATGGCATTAAGGCAGGAGGCCGGTCCCTCAGCCCCCTACCGGGGGGGGCAGTCCGAGAGGGGCTGCCTCGGTTCCATCAGGTTCCCAAGGTGCTGAATGAACAGGGGAGGGCTGCGACCCCCCCCAGCAAGTCCAGAGGAGGAGCAGGCTGAGTGTTTCAAACAAGGAGTCTCTGCTGTAGTGTCGGGGCTCTGTGGGGACCCCCAGCCCCTGGCTACCTGCCCTGCTCCTTCCTCGCCCCCGGGAACAGGAACCGGGCAGGGGGTGCCATGTGCCGGGCCAGGCTGCTGCCACCCGCAGCTGCTGCCTGGCTCTCCTGGTAGGAAGGGGGCGGGGTAGCAGCCTCCGGACTCCCGTGGGACTCGACGGCTTCCGCTGGGAGCACCAGGCCTCTGGAGAGGACAAGGGGTGTCGGCATGGGGGGGGCAGGCAGCACGGGATCCCCCTGGGAGCCATAGATGGCCTCTTCGTATGACGGGAGCGGCACCAGGCAGCTGTCCCCGCTGCTCAGCATCTCGGGCTCCTCCATGCGCTCGTACCACCTGCTGGAGGACGGGGAGAACACGTCGAGTTCACAGCCGCACCCTAGGGCCCCAGTCCTACCCCCATTGCTGGGGCCCAAGGCAAAGGGGAACAGGGGGGTGGAGTACCAGGAGTCTAGTGGTTACAGCAGGATTCCAGGGGCCTATCCCCGGTTCGGAGGGAAGTAGGGTCAAGTGGTTGGAGCAGGGCACCAGCAACCCTGGTCCCTCGGCAGACCCTGTGCAAGACACTTCCCTTCTCAGCGGGGATCAGTTTCCCCGGCACAAACCGTGCAGCCCCTCCCCTAGCCTGGCGCTGGGTCAGCGCTGGCTGACGGGGAGAGTGCCCCCTACTGCGTACACTGATCCCTGCAGTGCGACGCGGGAAGCCCAGGAGGCGGAGTCAGAGTTGTGCACCTCCCAGGGCTGGGCTGGAAGGGGAAAGGCGGGGGGGCTAGATCCCCCATCAGCTAATGGGGTGAAGGAAACAGGTTGCTACGGCCACGGCAGAACCCCCCCCCACTCCCCGAAGATGGCAGAGCTCACCTCCAGCAGACGCGGGTGCGGGGCTTCGGCCCCACCAGGACACACACCATGGCCACCAGCAGCAGGGCAGAGATGGTCACTGAGGCCGCAGCCACCACGGGGATGGAGGAGACAGCCAGGAGGGCGCCGGAGCGAGGCATCGGCGGAGACCCTGGGGAAAGGTCAGCGAGTCACCCCCAGCAGCTGGATCACTGCACCCCCTTGTGCGGCTCACGGCAGCCAGATCTCCAACAGCAGCCCCCACGCTCAGCCTGGCCCCCAGCAGTGCATCAAATATGCCCCACAGGGCACTAGATGGCACTCAAGGGCCAGGAAAGCAAACGGACCCCTGACCCGCTGTGACCACAGACACATACTAGCCCACGGTGCAAGGAACCCCCCCCCTCCCCCCCCCGGGCTCCACCCCCCC